CCACAGTACTCATCTTACCATTTTCTTAGCCTTTGTGTCTGTCTGTCTTTTTACATCTGTGAATCCCTCTTCTATTCCTCCTCCCGAATTCTTCTCACTTTGATGTACCTCCTTCCCTCTGTGAAGCTTGAAGTCAACTAAAGGGCTAATGATAACTATCAAAGCGCCTGCCATTTGTTATAAATAAATAAATAAATCTGCCATCCAGTTTTTAACTATAACGCGTCGGCAGCAGATTGAGAAAGAACATTTACTAAGTCAATCTCTACTATATTGGGTTGCGATAACTAGAAAATGCCAATAAATGTCGTGCCAATATAAGTCTGCACAGAGTAGAGAAGCATTCGAATCTAACAGACAAATAATTATTACGAATGTTGAGTTCAGAGAAGTAGATAATGCATGATTATACGTATTAGCACGATCTGATTTTAAATAATTCTTACTAGAAAAACCTTTTTGTAAACAGACTTAATCAGGCTAACATTGTCTCCGACTGACATTTCCTGGGATATTTTAATTTAAACACAAATATAAGCACAGCGTTCAATCAATAGTTATCAAGAATTTATCTAAAGATTACTTCATAAAGTGGCTGAAGTTAATAATGGTGCCTTAAATTCCTGAATTTCATTGAGCCAAGGTGATGTGTAACTCATCTGAGAGCATATCCCAAGAGGGATAAAATGATGCAAGATGAAAAATTGGAGCCATCATAAAAATGTGTACCTCCTGCCACCAGGGAGGAAGATAAATCAACTGATCGTCAACTAAATATAAACCTCTTTCTTTTTGAGATCTGATCTAATAGGTAGTATTTCAGTAAAGTACGAAGAGTTCAACTGAATCGAAAACCGAATTAAGTACATATTAACCTTCTTGATTTCGTTGATTTAAGCATCGATGTCTCTTTAGAGCAAACGTCACTATTCATTTTTCAATTTCGTGCTTGTAGTGACTACGCTTTTGTAGTTCGATTATTCACTTTTATGCGTCCTATAAGTTTCTTCAATTAAATGTCTGCATAGCTCATTTTCTTAAAAGTTTTATGGTAATCTTGCAACCTCTATGTGAATTCTGTTTTCTGCAGAAACACTTTCCATCTTACTAGCCTCAAGGTCGCTGCCTCCTCTTTGTTCTTCCCTAATAAAATATAGTCAGGGTCGATCCTGTTCCCTCTTTGAGGAAACGTAAAACCGGAGATGGTATTCCCCTCATCTTAGTGCTTTTGATTGGTTTCTATTACTCGTAACGACCTTCATGACAGAAGGTTTTTGTACATTACGTTCGGTTTGGGCTTAACTTTGGAGAAACTTTAGTAAAAGTTCTTATACATTTTAATTTCACCTAATAGTAAATGCACAAGATACTTTCATATAGATCAAGCTTACTGAATTAAATGATGACACCGTATTCATTGACTGTGCTATGGAAACAGTTACGATCATCATTAAAAAAAGCATTCGTATGATATGGTTCATAACGCGTGAATTAAATTAGGTTTATTAATGACATAGAACACGCATACACTTGTCATGAATGATTTATGGCAATTTTGATGTATTCAAAAAACAAGAAATGACGAAGAAATGGGAAATTCTTTAAATCTATAAGTTAATATTCCAGTAACAATAAGCAAGTAATGAAAGTACGCCAATAATAATGACAATGTATATTTTGTATGAAATTTTAACTTCAACGGACAAGCATTTAAAAGGATTCACATTAATTAACCTAATTCAGATGAGTGGAAAAATTGAGCAAATCCTCTTCAATTCCATTTGCAAAGAAAATAAGTAAAAGAATGACGTTACCAGTTTAAAGTTTCGAAGTTTTAAATGAGAATTATATCATGTTGGTTTATTGATGAGATGTAGAATGTATTATAGTAATAGATCAAACGGATGCCTACCTATGGAAACAGTAAGGAAATAAATTCGAGATTTTTCCTCGTTTTTTTCGGTTTGGAAGATTATTGATTGCGAATATTTTTCAGGAGTTCTTTGGAAAAGATTGGAATTAAATTTGGTGTCAATTTTGTCGATGGCATTCTGATTTGGAGTTTCCACCATCCGTTTCCTTTATAAGATATATGATACTGGAAATCCTTGTTTATCGTTGTGTCTGACAAACACTAATCCTGTCAATAGTGTAAGATCGCTTCTTTTCTCATCTGCGAATATTCGCGAATAACAGCTTCGGACTTCAAAATTTTCGCTCGAATTCCTTGA